ATTAAAGAATTGTGTTGTTATTAATGTGATAATTGTTAACTTTTTTTTTTAAGACATCTTGACAATCATGGCTTAGAATATGGCTTTGCTTTTATAATTACACACAGTGAAATAGATAAAAAAGATAGACTTCTCTAATAATGTATTGATGCATATATGAAAAGTCAAGTGTATGTTCTATGAAAAAAAGCTTATATAATTAAAGGCTGTAACAAAGGACATCATATAGAAAATTGTAAATTTCACATAAATATATATTGCCAGAAGACAGACAATTTGGTCTATATTATGAAGGTTGATGATAAACATAACCATGAGCTTGTTGAGAACATTAACATGGTTGCCTCTCATTACTGTAAACTTTTTCTGAAAATTTGTGATGAAGTAAGAATTCTTGCGGCTTTTGGAGTATATGCTGGAGCTATTATTGAAGTCCTATAGCATAAAAACTCAATAAAGTATATCCATGCTCATAACGTTTACAATTTGGTTCAGGCAATTAGATATGAAAAAAGAGTTACTAGTGATACAGGTTTTATGTATATTGAGCTTATAAAGCAAAAGCAGAATAATCTAATACTCTATGTAGATATACGTTTTGAAGGCAAAGACAACTACTTTATAAGTTTCTGCTAGATAAGGCCAAGTCAACAATTATGGGCTCATTTCTCTAATATAATATTACTTGACACAACAGCTAAAACAAACAGATATTTAATGATTTTGTGTGTTGTTATTTTGATTAACAACTATAATTGATCACGACTAAGAGCTACTGCACTATTGTCTGACAAAACTAAGGATATATTTTCTTGGCTTTTTGAAAGTCTTAAAAAAGCAACAAGTAGATTAATGCTATCCCTACTTTATACAGACACTGATCCCACAATGATAGCAGTAGCAAAAAGCACCTGGCTATCAACAAAACACCATTTCTGACTTTTTCACATCTGTAAAAATCTAGAAAAACATTTTTTTAGTAAGTTTTGTGATGAAAAATGGTGAAAATTTTTTGCAGCTTTTTGTTCTGTATATAATAGCTGTGTTGAGAGATTTTTAATAAAAAGTGAATCACATTAGTGCAGAAATATACTGAAGCAGCTGATTACTTGCAGCATTAGCTATATCTATATAGAGAAGCATAAGCTCTATACTTTACGCATTGTGTTTTTAATGCAGAAGTTCAAAGTATACAATATGTTGAAGCCTATAATGGTATAATTAAAAGTAATGTGAATAGAACTTCATCTCTTCTGAAACTTGATCTTACTATTGAAAGGTTGTTAGCAAAGAAAAGTTGGTTCATAAATTTAAATGATGCCATTAGCAAGTTTCTAATGAGCTGAGAAGAAAGATATTATGATTGATATTTTAAAAAAATTGATGGAATGTGTCAATGTTTTTTAACACCAATGATCATAAAACTTCAACAAAATAAGATAAACCGCAGTATACATTACTGGTGCAACATGATTAGTTTAAATGAAGAAGCTATACAGCAGGTTATCAATACTAAATTACCTGATAATATGTTCTCTGAAAACCTTTTTGATACAAGCCTGATTGAGCTTGAGGATTTAATTATTGAAATTGGACTATTTAGAATTCATAAAATTTGAAGCGTTTATTCTATAGATAAAAAATCAAAAAATTTTATTGTTTTGTATGACAATGCTGCATATCTTTGTATATATTTAACACTAATTAATTGTGGTCTTGTGTGTTGTCATTTTTTCTCAACTATGCTTGTTTCAGCAAAGGCAAAGTTCCATATTGGTCTTATTTCTCAATATTGGTACACTAATTTAATAGTAGATTCAATACTTGCAAATGAGTCTACAATTGTATCAATTTTAAATGAAGATTATAGTACATTATAAAACAATGAACAAATCAAATTTTTATATCTAGAAAGTATTTGTGAGTAACATGTTTTTACACAAGAAGTTTATCATAAATTTACGCTTAAACAGCACTGGAGAAAAGGATTCAGAATAATAAAAAAAGCACTTAACTTAGCTATTTCTACAGGCAGAGCAGAAGAGCTTTATAAAATGCAATCGAGACTTGTTAACAAAATGAAAAATGAAATTGCAAAAAATGAGGATTAAACAATAGAACAAGGTAATGATTTAAGTAAATTTGCATATACTATCAGTAATCCGATTGGCATCAAAATGAAAGGACAAAAATCAAAGAGAAAAGATCAAAGAAAGAGAAGAAAAAGATCTGCAGATAGCAATAATGAAGATCTGATTATTGAGTCCAAAGTTGATCAAACAATTTCTAAAAAAGCAGGTATATATATCTTAATATATATATATGTGCATATTTGCAGTTTTCTTTTTTGGTTTTGATTTTATACTGATATATGGGGGTGAGTCAGTAGAAATGGGATAAATTTATCTAATAAATTTGTCCTATTTCTACTGACTTACCCCCATATATTGAGCAAATTGCATATATGCATATATTCGTAATTTTCTTTTTATATAAAAGTTGAATCTGGTCAAAATCATGAACACTAGGATAAATCAAGACAATGCAGAATTTGTTATAAAAAAGGTCATAATGCATGAACTTGTGCAAATTGAAATCCCTAATATAATATCGACATTGAATTATTTTATATTGTATTAAATATTAAAGCCTTGCAAGATAATAAATTAATTAATAAATCTTGTATAACTAATAAATAAAATCATATGACTATAATATGGTGTTTAGCACCAGTGGTATGATTTAACAATGCTGTAATATAATTTCTTTTTTATAAAAAAGTTTAATTGAATTTTAATAAAGATAGAAGCATGGTCTCACTTTTGAAAATTAAAAAAAAAATTAATATTATATATATCAAAATAGTCAGTATTGTTTGCTTTCTAAATCAGTATAACAAAATAACATGCCTTAAATACAATTATCTAATCAAATAATACTTTAAAACTACAATTAAATACTAATCTC